GCCTATGCCACCTGTCTCGACTGTTGACGTGGCATTGTCCACGCTGTCTACATGAGGTGACTGGTTGCGAGGAGGAGGAAGATCGGGATCTGTGGATGAAGGAGATCGGGTACTCACCTGAGGTTGACGTCGTCACTGGAATCTGCTATGTCTTCATGGACTTCGCGAGATAAAGTGCCGCGTGGCACTACTGTGTGTGATCAGGAATATACTTATTATCATTGTTGACGTGGAGAGGGAAGAAGCCCGGAGAAGGAGAGGGGTCTGAAGGGATTTTTATTGTGAGATCTTTCATCTTCTCCTCTGTCTGTTCCCCCTCCACTCTCTTCTTTTGATGGTAATGAGATACTGTATGAGATATCACTTCACGATTTGGAGACCCTGATGCAGATAATGAGACTACTGATGTTTGACAACTTCTGAGTATATCCCAGACTGGGTTCATTACATGTTTCTTGGGAAAAAAAAAAAAAAGGAAGAGAGAAGGAGACCAGGTGGGAAGGAGAGGGGATGCTACGAAAGAAGAACTACAGATTATATAACTTTAAAATAAAAAAATAAAAAATAAAAGGGATAAATTGCAAAATACCCCCATAAGTTGAGATATATGCCAAAATGCCCCTAAAAGATGTGGGTAGAGCGGAATACCCCTCTGACAAAAAAAATAGTTTGTGAAATGCCCCTAGCATCGGTTGGACAACCATCTTTGCAATATACCCCTACCGGATATCGTCCAACTTTGCAAAGTGCCCCAGTACTTGCCAACTTTTCCTAGGTGCTATTGCAAAAGGCCAAGGCCCAATCAAGGAGGTCCATATTGCAAACTTGTACACCCGCCTGACAGGGGCACAACACAGATTTCGGCCCAAAAGGGCATTCCGCTCTACCCACATCTTTCAGGGGCATTTTGGCACATATCTCAACTTATGGGGGTATTTTGCAAATTATCCCCAAATAAAAATTTAAAAATAAAAAATAAAAAAACTTGAGTGGATGGACAAGGGGCCGGGGACCAAGTACCATCAGCAGCGTTGAGTTTCGTCAATGCCTGAACTGAATCGGGATGTGTTTGAGGAAACGTGCATAAAGCGTGTAGCGCTCCTTCGACCGCACATCTCCATAAACATGTCCAGATTCAGGCGTTGAGGAAACTCAACGCTGCTAGTGGGATTTGGCCTCGGGAGGAGGGGCGTGCTGAGCTGCTCGCCAAGGGGTGGAGGGCGTTGGGATGGGACAGGGCTAGATTGAAATATGTTCTCACGGCCACTCACTGCTATGGAGCGAGACCGCATCACCATCGCGGTGAGACACATTTTTGCGGCGTGGTCACTGCATGGTCGATGGTGCGACAGTTGTGCCGTGAGTCGACAGCGGGATTGCAGTGCAGTGCATTCTCATCGCTATGGCGTGAGAGAGAGGCGATTGTGGTAGGCGGATGTTGTGGAAAGATGAGGGAGGGAGCAAAGGCTGTTTGGACTGCTCGTTGTAGAGATAAGGTGCGAAAATACAGAGAAAGAAGATTAGCATGGCCCCTCCCTGCCCGAGGATGACACGAATAAATCGAGAAATGGTCCCCCCTTCAAGAGGAGAAAACCAATCGTAGAGTAGTTAGGCAGCCAGCAGATGCGCTCGCTCCCAGATGGGGAGGAGGCGGGTGAGTAATTGAGCTGTGCCACTGGATCTGCTGTGAGGTATCATAACTAACCTGGCTGGTCCTAAACATTGCACACTCATTTTATCCTGCTCATCTACACCTTTCGGGATTCGAACTTGGGTCTGTACGGCTCCGCCCTGCACGCCTTCACTCCTACCGGATTCCCGGTGGCGCTACGGGCTGCGGGCCTGCGTCCTCGCGGTATGTCAGTCATGGCACGTTTCTTTTGTTTTGTTTCCTTTCAAGCTTCCTAATGAACAGTCACGAGCAGGGTTACAGATACCATCCACTGCATACCAAAACTTTCTCATCAGGCGCCCACACTCCGGGGCCAGAGGTCGTTTCTGAATTTTGCTTAATCATGGAGTTGTCGTAGACATGTCTGAAGTAGCTCCAATATCTCTGAGCCAAAGCCGGGTAATGGCCCTGGTATCTCAATTTTTAAAATTACATTCTTAGGCCAATTGGATTTTTCTAGTAGGTTCCTAGTCCATACAACGTCACCTCTTATTCCTCAATACAATTGTTCAGAGAGACATATGGAGGACTTAGTCAGTGAAAGAGGGGAGAAGTACACACACAAAAACGTCACCTCAGCCGTTCTGGTCAGAAAGACACAGTCACACCTCTGTATACACACACACACACACACACACACACACACACACACACACACACACACACA